AGTTCTGGTCCGGCCGCATAGCGGCCTCTAGGTCTGGCTCCTAAAGGCTCCCTAGCAGTAGGAACTGGGTGTGGCATGTAGGTCAGCCTGGGTGACAGAGAATGGCCAGCTCTCCCTGACCTCCCCTTGCAGGGATAAAGGGGAACAGACCTAATCCAGTGAGTGGCCCAACAAGGGCGGGTTGGGGTCCTGCATTTACAAGCGCTGATACAGTTGGAAATCCGGGGTACCCCCAGCTCTCTCATCCAGGATATGTGCAGGGCCACCTCCGCCCTCTTCTGTGCCTCTTGGCGGGGAAAGATCTGCATCGCGTTGGGCAAATTTATTTCTACAGTACTCAGGAGCAGTGGCCTTTATCTGGGATCGGGACTCTGCGCCTTCCAACCCTCGAGCCCACTTTACTATTTGATGCTTAAAAATAAACCCAAACAATACACAAACAATTGAAACACCACCACCACAGTGTAGGACAGCCGGACTAGCTTGGAACACAGAGCTGTGAGTTCCTGGCCCTTTTCCTCCCCTCCCTTTGCACGAGCAGCTGGTTTTGCTGTCAGATGCCACCAGAGATCTCTAACTTAGAGGCAAATGGTTCGAATCCATCAGTTGCTCTGAGGGAGGAAGATGCACAATGTGATTTACAACCTGCGGGAAACCTCTGGGGGTCCCCTATGCTCGATGTACAACAACAATAACAACATCTTGTCTGTTTATGTTGGCTTTCTCTTCTTGCAATTTTGGGGTTAAAGGTCTAGGAAGATAAAAGGAGGAGGGGAGCTTGGGGGCTTGCCAAATTCCACTAGAACCTTCTAGAAGGAGTTCCAAAAGCTCAGGGGCTTAGGGACATAGCCACATCCTTGACCTGGCTGTGACAGGCATCCAGTGGCCCCTCAGGGACCCTTCTAAGACTCCCCAGGGCCAAATTCACAGGGCCTTGTTTTTGCCAGGTTAGGTCTCAGTGTTTTCCGTGGCCTAAGTAGAGCTGTACTGGTGGACTGGCTGAGGGTGAGGATAAGACCACTACTTCCCATTGCCTACGTGTGTACACACACACACACGTACAGTTCAGTGTAATAGGCAAGGGGAAAGGCATCTGGAACAGTCTAGGGAGGAAGCCAGTGGGAAGTCAGCTCTCCATCTGTGTACTTACTCCTTAAACTGAGTAAGTTCTCTGAATGTCCGGCCCACCTCCATGTCCACTCCCAGAAGCCTCTCTGTCTCACACTGCAGTGTGCTGAACTGGGTACCACAGGCTCCAGCCTTTCTCCCAACCTCACCTTTAAAGCCTGGGCTTGTTTTGTATAGAAAGGAGACTGTTTTGGGACTTGGGGGTAAAGGTGGTAGCAGGCTGGGGAGGTGGAGGAAGCTGTGATGAGGTCTCCCCCCCCTCCCACCCCAGCATCTTGGAGAAGGAGGTGGGGTTGGGCTCCAGGCAGGAGAGGAACCCAGGGAGTTGCAGAGGGTTTCTGGAGGGTGTGAGATCAGGTAGCCTGGGAGCGGAGGGAGGGACAATGCACAGAACAGGAAGAAATGTGACTCAGAGTCGAGAAATTAAAGCCTGATGATTATGGTGCCAGTAATTAGTAATTACTATTATGGGCGTTATTGTTGCTAATTATAGGCGGTGGCTCCACGTCTGTCCTCAGCCCCCTCAAAGGAAGGCTTGGTGGTGAGGCAGGAGTCCCAGGATCTCCACTATTGGAGCAGCAGGAAGGAAGAAGAGGGGATGGGCACTGGGTCTTCGTCTTGACAGAGAGATGGTTTAGACTGCCTGCTGCCGGTCCAGAAAGTTCCAGAAGAAACTGGAAGGTCGATGTCCACCCTGCAGCCTAGGTCCAAACCTGAACCACACAGGGATGAAGCTTCAACTCCTGAGGGATCCAGTGTGCCAGTGCGCAGCAGCACCTGCGGCTGGGGGTGCAAGGGTCTGGGCCACCAGGGTGTGTGTCACCACGGTGTAACATCTTCTGGTAGATGTGGTATAAAGCATCTCACGAAGATTGCCCTCCCACCCTTTCTCCAAGCAGAGGACCTTGGCACAGAAGCGGCCTCAGGAGCCATCCCAAGGATGGGAAGAAGAGGCTGTCCGGCTAGCAGCAGCAAGGGCGCTGGATTATTTGCTCCTTCCACTCAGGCTGTAGATGGAGAAGGGAGGAGTGGACCTGGATACAACACAGGAAGTGGGGTGTGCATAGCCAGAGTGTCTTCAACCAGGTCCGCACACTCTCAGAAAGTTTTCCTCCTTCAAATGCGCACATAGGAGAAGGTGAGGGGGCGCCAAGGCTATGGTGGTGACCCCCATCGCCACCTGGGAGGGGTCCTGATGCAAGCGTGATTTCTCGCCAAAAAAAAGAAGTATCTTCTCGCCGCTGCTCCTCATTACCCTCAAAGAAGCTTCACCGCTCTACCCTGTGCTCCCCTCAAGGCCGTGGATTCTCAGCTGGGGTGGCCCTTTTCTCAAAGTTTCCCTGGGTGACAGCAGCAGAGTTCAGCTGCCTTTGGTTTTCCAAAGTGCAGCTCAGGCCCCAGCACTGTCAGATGATCCATTATCACGAGGGGAGGGGGGGGTCGAACGTGACCCGGGACCCTTGAGCGGTGGCGCATCGTCCACTTCTGCCCAGATGGTCCTTGCGCGCCCTGTCCAGCCTGCTCGCCCTGTGGACACTCTGCGCGCCCCGCCGCCGCCCGCAGGGCACCGGCGGGCCCTTCCTTCCCAGCCTCGCCGATGGGAACGTCAGCG